ATATATATATAATGTCATCTGGATATTGTTTTAAATGGCAGTTTTATTAATCGTAGCCTCTTCCGTCCTCTAAGTTACCCATCCCTGATATATACTATATAGGTATTAAAGAAACGCTCCCCACTCACATACTGATACAAACTCCAGTGATTACTTTTAAAAAACTATTTTTTATTACAACAGTACATTTATATACATTAAAAAACAAACCACAGTAGAAATAAAGATTTGGAAAGAGAGCTGGTTTAGTTGGTGTTTTGGTACATGATGGGAATTTAGAAGCACTTCCTGTGGACGATGGAGGGGCCGGCCTCGTCGTACTCCTGCTTGCTGATCCACATCTGCTGGAAGGTGGACAGGGAGGCCAGGATGGAGCCGCCGATCCAAACCGAGTACTTCCTCTCAGGAGGAGCGATGATCTGCATGGGAAAGAGTGGAGTTCAGAAGGTTTTTTTTCCACACAGTGAAGCCATTTCCTGTCAATTCGCACCCACCTTGATCTTCATGGTGCTCGGGGCCAGGGCGGTGATCTCCTTCTGCATGCGGTCAGCGATACCGGGGTACATGGTGGTACCTCCTGACAGCACATTGTTGGCGTAAAGGTCTTTCCGAATGTCAATGTCACACTTCATTATGCTGTTGTAGGCGGTCTCATGGATACCGGCAGACTCCATGCCTGAGAAAATTAAACATGAAAGGTTATACTTCCAACTAAAGTCATCACTAAAGCCCCTTTTCCATGGTGTGTCGGACCGGTCGGTGTAGGTACGGGTCGGTACGGTTGGTTTTCCACTGATGTTCCAGTCTGGTTCCAATGGGTGTGTTTTGGGCAGTTGGTGGAGGTGGTTTTTAGGTTTTTTTGAAGAAAAGTTAATGGACAAAATGAGAGATGGAAACACATTTGGTGAATAACTTTTGAAGTTTTAAACATTTGCAAAAACTAGCCAATCAGTCACGAACAGTGTTCTGACGTCGCATTTTGATGTCAGCTGGGGCCGGTTGGAACCACAATGAAGTAGGTAGTTAAAAAAGTGCCGGTTCCATGGATCTGGCCTGATGGAAAAGGCTTGGAACCGTACCGAACCGTACCGACACTACACGAAGTGGCACTAGTGGGATGTCTGCTGCTGTATCACCGGCTCACCGATGAAGGAAGGCTGGAACAGGGTCTCTGGGCAGCGGAATCGCTCGTTGCCGATGGTGATGACCTGACCGTCGGGCAGCTCGTAGCTCTTCTCCAGGGACGAGGAGGAGGCAGCCGTGGCCATCTCGTTCTCAAAGTCCAACGCCACGTAGCACAGCTTCTCCTTGATGTCTCGGACAATCTCACGCTCAGCTGAAGAAACGAAAATTAATTCAGTTCAGTCAAAAGTGAACAGGAAACTGAAACAGGATAAGGTATACTGTATTTGAGCACTGACTCCATAAATGACAGGTTTGATTCGTAAAAAATGATATTAAATTAAGCCTATTTCTTTCAAAATGACTACAAGACTAATTATTGGTCTTATTAATTAAGTTGTGGTGATTACTTTTTGCAATTTTCAGCTACTTGATCAGAATTAGCAATTAGCTGATAATGGCTAATGCTAGTTGGCTACTTTTGTCACATTAAGCTGCTACAGATTTGTTGGTTTAACACGAGTTCAAAACTATTTTTACATGTTATTTTATTATTTATGTCCTAATAAAAATTTGCACATTGATTTATAGACATGTATCTTTCCTGGAGCTAACAGGCCAAGTAAACAAAGCAAACAAACAAGGGAAGTTTTTAATTAAAAAGCTTAAAAATACAGTTTTGTTTATCAAAAATAAAAACTTTGAGTCTAATGATCGTACTGGCTAGTAATGTTTGTTTTTGTTCAGGTATAGCTAACGGAGGCTAGTTTATACATGCAGACAAATAGCTTAGCCTAAAGTAAGCTAACTTTTAGCTAATGGCGACTAAATGATGCAACTTTTATTTGAGACGTGTGGAAACTGTTTTAATGTTTTATGTTGTTGTTTTTTTATTTATGATAATGTTTGAAGTGTAACAATACATAAATATGAAAACTATGCTATTTACGTCTAAGGTTGTATGTACTAGCTTAGGTTTGTTCATTTATTTATTTTTATTTATTTATTAATTTATTCATTTCATATAAAAATAAAATTTTTATACACAATAAAGAAAAAAAATCACACTTGAAATGAAAGGAGGCAGAAAGATGAAAAAATCTTATATCTGCCCTTTTTTCCTAAGTTAATTTCAAACAACAACTTTTGATTTACATTATACAATTTCATGTTTCTTTAACAAACTTATTTTTTATCATTCTCTTAAACACATTGAACCAACATTTTTATAATCACTTTCCAGATTATTCCACAATCTTATTCCTTGAACTGAAAACATCGATCCTTCAAGTTTGTTCGAATTTTAGGTTTTATAAACGTCTCAAGTCCCTTAAGATTATATAACCTTTATCTGTTAACAAAATATAACTGAATGTTTAAAGGTAAAAAAATTTATGAGCCTCATACATAATGTGCAAGATATTATAATCAACCAACTCATACAGTTTTAATAATTTTAATTTATAAAGTAATGTTTTTCTGGTGATAAATCTGACGGCTCTTTTCTGTAAAATAAAAATAAGATCTGTGATTGTTTTACATGCTTTACCCCAGACTTCAACACAGTAAATCAAGTGTGGAACAATTATTTCATTATATAATATAAACAGTGTTTTATCATTAAATAAATCCTTTACTTTGTGTTATACTGCAATGGATTTGGCTATTTTTGTTTTTAAACGGTTTATGTGAGAAGACATTTAGAGGCACGCACCTGGTAACTGTTAAACCTGTCATTTATAATGAAAACTGTTGGGACGTTGTAAAATAAGAGTAAAATAAAATATGTTATACGATGTTATACGATGTATGGTGCCATAGGATAACAGAAGAAATTATCCATCTAATATTTTATTATTATTAAGTTATTGAAATTTCACAATTTGGTTGATTCTAACATTTTGTTAGTTGTGTATAAGACTCACAAAAATACATTAACTTTAAACATCCAGGATTGTTTTGTAAAAAATAGAGCTGTTATAATCTTAAGGGGACAAAGATGTTTAACCTAAAGTTAGAACCAGTTTGAAAGAAGCGTGCACCAGTGACATCATCTGGAAATTGATCTTAAAAATGTTAAATCACTGTACATGTTTAAAAGAATGATAAAGGATGGAGTGTTGAAAAAATATGAAATAGTATAATGTTCATTAATATAAATTTTTGTTTTTGTTTTAACTGAAAATTACTATTGTTTGAATTTATACTTGAGGAAAAAGGAGCAGATATAAGATTTTTTTCTTTGCTTCATTTCATTGAATTTTCTTTCTTTTTTATTGAATATAGAATTTTGTTTTTTAAGAAATGAATAAAGTTTTAAAATAAAATAAACAATAAATTTTGGTTCAGAGATGGAGACTCGGGGTGGTCACAGTCTTACCTGTGGTGACGAACGAGTAGCCTCGCTCGGTCAGGATCTTCATCAGGTAGTCGGTCAGGTCACGACCTGCCAGGTCCAGACGCATGATGGCGTGGGGCAGAGCGTAACCCTCATAGATGGGTACGTTGTGGGTCACACCATCTCCAGAGTCCAGCACAATACCTAACACACACACACACACACACACACACACAGGAATTAACAACAAAAAACTAAAACATAAAATTTCAAGTTTGTCATCTGGCAACATTGCTGGCCCACCTGTGGTCCGACCAGAAGCGTACAGGGACAGCACGGCCTGAATGGCCACATACATGGCGGGGACGTTGAAGGTCTCAAACATGATCTGGGTCATCTTCTCCCTGTTAGCTTTGGGGTTGAGGGGGGCTTCAGTGAGCAGGGTGGGATGCTCCTCTGGGGCCACACGGAGTTCGTTGTAGAAGGTGTGGTGCCAGATCTAAGGAACAAGTCCAGGTGAATGAAGCAGCTGTTGTCTCTCCTCCAACAGATGTTGGTGTTTAGGATTTCCTACCTTCTCCATGTCGTCCCAGTTGGTGATGATGCCGTGCTCGATGGGGTACTTCAGAGTCAAGATTCCTCTTTTGCTCTGGGCCTCGTCTCCCACGTAGCTGTCCTTCTGCCCCATGCCTACCATCACACCCTGCGGGGGAAACAAAAGCACGTGTCCACATCTCCAAGTGACCAGAGGCCGGGGACACGTCTTTGTGGAACTCAGTCCAGTCGTCTCACCTGGTGACGAGGGCGTCCGACGATGGAGGGGAAGACGGCCCGAGGAGCGTCGTCGCCGGCAAACCCAGCCTTGACCAGGCCGGAGCCGTTGTCACACACCAGGGCGGTGGTCTCATCGTCGTCACACATGTTGAAAGTGTTGTTGGGGTCTTCTGTCCCGGACAGAACAGGATAAAGTGATTCACTGTGTTCAGCCTCTCTGAGTCCAGCTGTGTCCCCTCAAACACAGTCAGGTCTGTTTTAAAACCTCTCAAACCTCTTTCTGTGTCTCTGCAGCTTCAGCACATAATAAACTCCTGCTTGGATGCAGACCATGTGCTCAGACCTCTCCAGGACCTCTCCAGGACCTTTCCAGGACCTTTCCAGGACCTTTCCAGGACCTTTCAGGCTGATACAGTAAGGTTCTGATGAGATCAGTCTTGTGTACTTTAAAAAATACGACTATAAAGACGTTTAACTGTCACTGAAGCTGCATAAAACTAAATATCTTTCTAAAATAAACCAGTTGACTCACAAACAAGGTGAAACATTTTTTTTATTTTATCTTTTAAAAACTAGTAAATTCCACTACAGAAAAAACTTTGATTGTTATATTTATTTTTTCTTTATATTTTATATTAAACTAATACGTGACCCGTCACATGGAAACAAGGATTAAGTCCAAAAGTGGTTTAAGGAGAAAAAGGCAAATATAGTGTTTTGACTAAAATGTTAATAAAAATTGCATTTTGTCAAAATATAATGAATAAAAGTCTTATTAATGTATCATTTGAATGAACTGTCTGAAATATAATCATAAAACTAAAATTTGAAGCACTTTTTTGAGCAGTAACAACAAAAAAACTGATTTTGAGGAAAAACACTTTAAAATGTTGAGATTTTCCCTGTGAGTTAGTAAAGTTTGTTTCTTTTTATCAAAATGAGATAAAATTAGGATTCAGACCAAATA